CTAATTAAACATGGCACGTGGAACTAGAACAGTCTATCCCAGTGAGCGAATAAATGGTTCAGTTTGTCATTCCAACCACCTAAAGAAGGCCAGAATGTACAACGGCCGAAACGTTGTAATAAATATGGCGACAAAGATGGGAAAATAGTCCGAATAATGTAAATAGTGTACATAATACCTCATCTCAGAAATATAGACAGATATTGAGATTAATCTTTATGTAAATATTTGCGACAAACATTTTTTTCAAGTAAAATTTAATCATGAAAATATTGGTAGTTATTACAAAAAGAATAACATTTTCTGAGACTTAAAAATAAAAAAAGCTATTCATTATAAAAGTTAATAATTAGTGAATATGAACTGAAATTTTCATTTAATTTGGATAATTCCCCGATTTTTGGTAATTTAAAAACAAAACCCACAATGTTCCTTTGAGGATTTGTGGGTCTCCAGTTTGGGTAACGGAAAACGACATGATGTATACAGGGTCCCTTTATCAAAGTTTCTAGAGAGGATACTAGCGCCGGCCCTGCTCTAGCTACTTAAGTATTGCCTTTATCTGTTCAGAGTAATGGTCTTTAAGTACATCAAGCTTCAATGAATTGATGGCGGTTTCTAATGTATTCTTACCGTTCATTTTCTTTTGCAATCTCGAAATATCAACCATTTTCAAACTATGCCCTTTCGAAATGTATTCCTTATCATCGTTAAATTTTTAAAAAATGATTAAGGTAGATTGTGCTTTCATCGCAATATGTAAGGAGGATTAAATGCGATAGGCAACAAACTACAGAAAAACTCAATTTATCGCTGCATTTAAGTATCGCATTAATATTTAAACTTATCTTTTAAAAAGTTCAACGATATTTTTTCTGCCGCCACTTAATTTTATGCACATAGGTCTTTACTTTCCGTAAAAAACTATTATTTTATTTCATGGGTGGCTCGCTGGATTTCTCAATTTTGATTATTCCCAAATTTATTTCCAAATTATGAAATATTATCGTACAAAAATTTTGTAACAAAAAAAAAAAAAAAAAAAATTAATAATCACGTAAAACATCACTGAAAACAATCATAGTAATGGAAACTTGAGAATCCAAAATTTCAGGATTGCGGATCTGGATCCGGCCCAGAATGTTTTTAATTTGCTCACAGAATCGGCCTGATTCCAAAATGGTATAATATATTGGGCTACGGCCTGTAGGAGTAAAGTTGAAAAGGTGTGACACACTGACATTCACATTTATTATGTAGAAGGTTGATTTTCTATTCTTACTTTTAAAATTATCCGATTTGGTCTAGGTATTAATTAGAAACTATGCCACCAACTGCGAAGAAACAACGTTCAAGCATTTTCTCCAGAGGATGTAAAAAAAAAAATAAATAAACGAACAAATGTCGACGATAATCAGGGTAATTTTGTGTCACTTGTAAAGATTAACCACCCCTATATATTGTTGTTTAAAAGATATCCTCATTCAAACACCTCGTTTCGATATTTGATACTACTGTTATCGGGTCTTTCCTGTTAATTAACCCCAAATAATGTAAAGTTATTTATCGCAAATATTAATTCACCCCAGCAGTAAGGACAACCAAATGGTAATGGATTAAATGTGACAGTTCTTGGAATCCAATGCAACAAAATAGTTTAAAATAATGAGAGAGATGTGTAAATAATATAAGTTTAATTTAAAATAAATTTTAATGTAAAAATAACAAATAATTTTAAATGTTTAAATACACGACTTGAATTGTACAGGAGTCAGTCCATGAATATTTCGTGTCAGCTTGTAAAGTGTGTTATTTTTAAATTTGTATAGTTTTATTTTTATGTTATATCCAATTTTATACGTGATATTTTTTTAAAATTTATTATTTATCTTTTAGTGGTTTTAATCGCGATATACAGCGTGTAACTTACTCTTTTTGGGTAGGTTCACGTTTTCTTATCATCTCTCAGTTGCGTCTCTGCCTTTGGACAGAGTGCGCTCACGGGCTTCTCTGTCAAAGGACAGAGGAGCAACTGAGGAAAATGATACTGAAGAGGTGCCCAGCCCCGGGGAAGAGGTGCCCAAGGCCGCGCTCTCCCATTGCACCAGAGGATCGGTGCTGGAACCGAGGCTAGCGCAACCGACGGTTGCGGGGAATTTTTGTTCCTATCCCGGGCGTACGCGCTCAGGTCCCCCATCTAAAAATAGACCTTGTGTCACATCTCGTCCTAATGGGGTGGGGACAGAGTATATACCGCAATATACATGGTAAGGCGTTTTGTCTTTCATTCGTATTTATTTTTAAATGGTTAAAAGCATAAAATATATTGTAAGATTTTTATTTTCGTAAATTTTGTCTATTTACACGATTATTTCGCATTTTTTGTTTATTTCAATCGCCATCATAATTTGTATATAGTGTATTTAATTAGTCTATTTTTTCGATCATCGTTAGCATATTGTTACATTTTTTTACCGTTTTGAGCATGATATGTATATCATAAAAAGTTTTGTCTTTCGTTCGGATTTAATTTTTTTTCTTCTAACGTTATTTTTATAAGAACGAAATATATTTGATCACAGTATTATTTTGAAATTATGCCACTAATGCGAGAAGAAACAACTTTGAATGCTTGTACAGAGGATGTACAAACAAAGAAAGAAAAACGAACACTTTACGACGAGAAACTGTAACTTTGTGCCACTTATAAAGATTAACTACACCTATACTTTTTAATATCCTCATTCAAAAACCTAGTTTCGATATTAGACACTACTGTTGTCGGATCCTTTCTGTTAATTTAGGTACCTCCACGAGATCGCTAAAAAAAAGAGCATAGCATGATGAAAAAGACGCCAAACTTGACGAAAAACAAAATTTTATCGTCTAAATGTTTGTTATTATTAAGAGGAAAGGTCAAAGTATTTGGGGGTATTTTTTTCCATTTTTAATCGTTCCTAGCACGTCCGAAATTTTCGTTAAAAATTTAGTTTTTTTTGAGTCAGCAAAATTGACCATTTTTTTTTTTCCATTTTAAAAAAAACTGGAAATCTGACTTTGAAATTTTTTAAATATCAATTATTTTTTTCAAAACTTATTTTAAGAAAATCAGAAATTATAATGTTTATTTAAAATATTTTGAACCAAACTTAACTTAGCTTAGCTTTTTTTGTGCCCAAAAGATGTAATTTGAAAATAAAAACAAAGCAGGTCATAAACTTTCGCGTCTCTTGACATGTGATGAATGATATATTTACGAATTCCATGAGGCTAATTTGTTCTACGGAAGGAGAAAAGTGAAATAATTTACATTTACGTGAACAAATTATTTACCCCGTTATTTTTAACGAAAAACTTTCAGCGGTCTAATTTTTTTTTTTTTTTGTACTTAGCTTTCACCTTTTACGTTTATGATGCTTTTATGGGAAATATATTGTAAAGAAATTAAAATAAAACTGTTAAGAGTGACATTAAATTTCATATTTCTTAAGAAAGGTATCTAATTAATTTATAGGTACCTTTCTTATGAAATTTTATCAGAATTGTACATAAAATACTATAAATTTTATGTACATTTATTACATTTTACTGTTATTTGTATTTGCATTCATTTTATTATTAATTTTGATATTTCATTTATGGAAAAATGTCGTAACTGAGATTAATATAAAATAAGATCATATAAATTTCATAAGATGATACTGATACTTGTAGGTACCCTTCTCAGTTGAAATTGAAAATCAAATTAACTTCTCCACACGTGTTTCGCAAAAAGTAAAGGCCTTAACAGCGGAGAAGAATGCTTAACTCAAATAACGCAACTTAATTATATTCTGGTTGGTCTTCCGTATTTTATAATTACAGCTCGATTATAAGCACAAAATTACATTTCTTAATTACTGGGGATCTTCTGATTAGTCAAAAATGATACAATTTACAACGCGCTAAAAAAGATCTATCTGACACTTATGAAAGCCGATGCGGCTTTTAACTAATTTTATAATATTTTAACAACTTAAATGTAAAATCTATTATAATTAATGAAATAACAAATAATTGTATTAAAAATTCATTTTTCATTGAAAAAATTTTTTGCTTTCAGAAAATATTGTCCATATTCATAAAAACAACTAAAAGCAAATAAAAGCATTTGAAATTAAATAATATCTTTGTTTTATTGAGTTTTGTATGTTACAATTCACAGCTGATTTTCAGGTACTGCGTATCCAATTAAAAAAAAAACATGATTTGCATTCCTCAAAGCCCTGTGCTTTTAATTATTGTAATCACTAAAACCGATGCGATCGAATTTCTAGCGTTTTCATAAAATTAGTTATGGGGGGGGGTAATAAATATTTAAAAAAAATATTTCTACCATGACTTTCATAAAAAAAAAACATATTTATAATAATTTCGATCAACTGTGAATAGTTCCTGAAAGTTTCATTAACATCCGATAATTATTTCTATTTTTGCACGATTTTTCAAATTAATGTGTCATACCAAAAAAAAAACGTGCTAAAATTGTATATGTTATTTACTAGTTCCGCTGATACAAACAGAAAAAAAGTTTTTTTTAATCCAAATTTAGAATGTTCTAAAAAGAAGGAAAATTTTTAAAAATAATTAAAAAAAATTTGGTCTTTCCTTAATAATAACATAAGCATTTAGACAATAAAAATTTAGTTTTCGGCAAGGTTGGCGTCTTTTTTTCATCAAGCTATGCTCTTTTTTTTAGCGATTTCGTGGAGGTACCTATGTTAATTCCCCCCTCAAATAATGTAAAGTTACTTATCGCAAATATTAATTCAACCCAAGAAATAAATTTTAAGTCTGATTTTTTTACAGTTTTTGGCACTCTTTTGAAATTATGAATTCTAAATCAAAATTTCTTCAGCTTGCCATGAAGTTGCTGGAGTTAGTACAAGAATGCAACGACAAGGAGAGTGATGTTCGATTCGTACAGGGAGTAAATATTCTTCCTGCGCTGATGAAATGCACTAAAGGACATGATATGAGTTTGAGCTTAACAGACCAACAGGATAGATGACGCTGCTGTCTCCGTGAATGCCGTAAAGAGAAGCCTAAGAAAGGAAATTGGCTCAAAGTGCCAAGACTTCCCGGCCATAAAATCATATTTATTTACTTCTGAATTCCTTTTGGGACGTAAGGCAAAAATAAAAAAAAATACATTTTTTTTTTAACAAATTTTAAAGTAGATTTCTAAATTTTGCTGTGAATTTTAGTACATACTAGTAGCATGGCGCGGCGTTGCCCGTGCTTGATTCAAAAATTGTACGACTCATACAGCAATCGCTATCACTTGACTTAAAATATTTTTGCCTTTAAAGGAGTGCCCTTTGCCGTGCTGATGTTGCTACATGCCTTATTTCTTGCCTATCTTACACTGCGAATTTTTTCTCAGCTCTATGCTAAACATTAAATCTGTTACGAAAAAAGAACTAAACAAAATGAACACAAAACGATCAGCTTTAAAAAGACTCGTAACTGGAAAAACTGAATGAAAAAAGTATGTTAACAACAAATACTTTTTCACACCCAACCCAGTTCTGCGGAATCAGAATCAACGTTGAGTTTAAGCAAGCGAATGAGCCAATTGGAGTAAAGTGTCATGCAGATTTAAATTTTTTTCCACTTGTGACGAATGCAGCTATCGATTTTTTTGCATGCTAGCATGCTAGTTAACATTCGTGTCAGTCAGCAGTTGGCTCTCACGCTGGCCAGTAGAATCTTCCTGCCTATTCGTGGCAGCCAGCTATAGGCTCTCATTCTGGCCAGTACAAAATGGCTGCAAACTACATGAAATCTGCCGTACAAGCATGAAAAATCTATTATTTCCACTATCGATGTAAGTTGGGAAATGCAACGTCGGTCTTGGCCTTGCTGCTAACTTGGAGCATATGCATATAAATTTTGGTGCAAATCCGTTGAAAATTGTGGGCGTGCATTCGTTACACACACACACACACCTTCCTTTTATAGATAGAGATACATTCTTTTTATTCTGGGCTGAATTAACAGTAGAGACCACAGTTGTCTTTCAAAATGATACGTTTAAGCGGTATATTTTTAACAAATTTCTCCATCATAAAAAGTGTGTTTTTATTTGCCAGTACGATTTTTGGGTGCGCGGGTGGTGTTATAGATAACAGCTTGGAATGAAAAATAGAAAACGCGAGTTCAAATTTCAGCCGGGTTCGTTAAATTCACTTACTCGCAAATATCCTTTGAAAAGATATGAATATATCTCTATGGGTTGAATAGCAAGACCAGTCTACCGCAGAAATAAAGGGCAGCCTATTGCCTTGTCAATCATGAATTGAAAGAAACATGATCACCCAAGCGCGTATCAAGTATGGCACTTGAGCGTTACGATTTTAGCTTCCTGCGCTAGACGCCATAAATCCGTTAACTGCGTTAAAAACAACGGGCAAACTCGTGGTTGTAGTCGACTTGATGGCAAGACCACAAAAGCGAGAACTCATGGTTGGCGTCTTGTCAATGTGTTAAAATATGACGAATGGAAGACGTAATAAAAATATTCCATACAAATATGTAAAAATTCAAATATTAAAAAAAAGAGGGATAAAAATAAAGCCCATACCCAAATCTTTTCGTCAATGAATATCATAATACTCTACTCCTGTAAAAGAAATATCACTCAAACCGCTATGCCGAGTGTAGATTGATAAATTCAATCAAGATTTTGGGAAAGATCTTTTCAGATACGCTGATGCGAGACTTGTAGATGACTCGAGCTGCAAGACATTGTAATGAAAGAAAATGTAAAGCATTATCAATTACACCTTTTCTTTTTAAAGCCTCGAGGGGTCGATTCCCGAAACAGTTCACAGAATCAATATGTCCGCCGGCCTCTATGAAAAGATGAGTCATGTAATACAAATAAGGATTTTCTTTTGGCAATCGAGATATCAAATGCAGCGGACTTGTTTTGCACGCATCACGGCAATTGGCATCAGCAAAACATTTTAAAAGCAAAGAGACAACAGACAAAGAAACCTTGTTTTCAATTGCTTTGTGCATCAGAGTGGTTGGGTAGGGATGTGAACATTTTCCAGCCATTTTTCGGATCTCATCTTCAATCCATTTCTTTTGTTTTTTGCTCAGATTGTGACGGTCCATATATTCAAGGCTGATAAGGATAATATCCAGAAGTTTGCCGTAAGCGATTCTGGGAAATTCGATAGAATATCGAAAAAGTACTTTCCATGTATCGGCATTTAATAATTGGGATAGTTTTCTAAATCTGCTTAGAAATTCGTTTTTGTCTTTGAGATTCGGAGAAAAATGATAATCGAAGAGTTTTGTCATCGTCTTCAGGGCGCAGCTCTTCGGAGAACGGATATTGTTTGTAGGAAAATAGTACAGTTCTGAGAGAATATTCAAAGTCTGCAGCATATCTTCGTTTAACATCTTGACACCGGCCACAATTCTGAAAGCATGTTGCGTCACCCGACTTGATTTGGAGAGGAGCCGGAGAAAAACAAGCAACGCCTGTAGATAAAGATCACCGTCATTTCCGTTTCGTAGGGCGTTAACTTCGCCTTCGGTCTTAAATTCTATCCCTAGATTACTCGAAGTTGTCAGCGAATCTTTATCAGCAAAGCCGATGTTATATTCTTGACGAATCCGTAGAGATTTCCTCCAACAGTCTAACCCTTTTTGCTTTTCGGATCGAAAAACTACGAATTTAGCCCCGCATAATTCTAAAGCAAGAGCGTAAGATTTTAAACTGTAAAACTTATAGTTAATCAAGAAATTTTGTGCATTCCTCTGACCATTCAAGATGGCCAGACACATAGAATTTTCTTCTGCATAGTTTTGAAAAGATTTATTCAAACCAGTTGACGTTAAAATCTTCATGCGAACAATATCTCCATTGGTTGCAGCTGTTAAAAATTCCATATTTATTTTATTATATCTAAAGTCGGAATATCTGTACGACGTTGATAATACAGAATATTCATTTTCTCTTGACTCTGATGCAAGTAGATTTGGTAGATTATTCTTATATAGCAGTAAAATTGACATTAATGAGTAATACCTGTTTTTGAAAGCGTAGTAAACGCTAGAAATTTTGCGATTGTTGTTAAGTGCAGCTCCGCGCCTCAGTAATAAGAGGAGCAAGAAAACGTCTAGCTTCTTTATTGCTATCCGTGATGGCAATTCGGATTCACTGCCGTCACAGTAGCCGTCATCGATATCAGCCCCACATTCGTCTAAAAGATATTTCGCGATGTCTTTGAAGCCTCGTTCGCAGGCATGATAGAGAAGCGTTTTGTGTTCGATCTTTTGATAAACGATCGTTTGACGTTCGCGTAACGTTAAGGGAGTAAGAAGTGAACGTATTGCATTAAGGTTATTTGAGGTTATTAAATCGAAAATGGAACGCCCGTCTGGTAGGCGAGTTTCCACCGAGCCATCGTTTACGGAGCAATCGGACATCTGTAAGTAGACAAAAAGGAATGTTTAGCATGTAACTGTTTTTGTCAGGTACAAATTAAAAAAACAAAAAAACACTACACTGGGCACTAGTTAAATAGTATGGTCTATTGGTGGTGTTAAAAATAAAAACTTTTGTAAATAAGCTTTCATTATACCATCCTGAATCGGCGACATTTGTCAGTATCCAGAAATATGTTTTTTATCATTTTAGAAGGTGAGGTACTATTCGTAATAGAAACTTTGTCCAGTTATTGGACTCGGATATTATTTGTAACTGTCAAGTTTAAAAATGCTTGAATGATGGATATTTGCATATTTAAAAGATTTTAATTTGTGTGTGTGGGGGGGGGGTCTGGCAGGGCCCATGAGCAGGGGAGGATCAGTTTTTATCTTAAGTGAAGAATAAACATTGAAACCCATATATCGGTTTAAATATTTTTTTAAGAAGTTGTACACAGAACCATCAAGTCCATACAACTCAGGAAACATCAGGAATCAATTTTAAACTTATTCTCAACTGAGATTCGCGCCTCAGTAATAAGAGGAGCAAGAAAACGTCTAGCTTCTTTATTGCTATCCGTGATGGCAATTCTGATTCACTGCTGTCACAGTAGCCATAATCGATATCAGCCCCACATTCGTCTAAAAGATATTTTGCGATGTCTTTGAAGCCTCGTACGCAGGCATGATAGAAGTGTTTTGTGTTCGATCTTTTGATAAACGGTCGTCTGGAGTTCGTGTAACTTTAAGGGAGTAAGAATTGAGCGTATTGCCTCCAGATTATTTGAGTTTCAGCCGAGCCATTGAACATCTGTAAATAGAGAAGTGTTTAGTATTTAACTTTTTTTTCCGGAGATACATAAAAACAGTACTCTGGACACTAGTTAAAAAGAGTGGTGCACTGGTAAAAATTTAAAAATAGTGAAACTTTTGTAAATAAGTTTTTATTATAATTTACTGAAACCGCGACATTCGTCAGTATCGAGATATATTTAGATTTTTTTATTTTAGAAAATGGGTGGCTGTTCGTAATATCAATACAGTGTAAAGTCGATCCAGACTTTTTACAGAGATATTGGATATTAAAATACATATATCCGTTTAATTATCATTTATATATAATAAAAAAATGTACACAGAACAATCAAATCCAGATAACTCTAAAATCAGGGACCAAATTTAAACTGAAATCATGTTATATAAAGGAACTCCAATCCATTAAAAAAACAAAATTCTCCAAATCTAAACAAGTAAACGCCAAATTCTGTTTGTCTGGCCGTCTGTGTCTCTGAAAGGATTAATTCAAGCCACACTTGCTCTACATAGATATACTTTTGTGGAATCAGGATGATCCCGGGATTGAAAAAATCTACCCTTTTTCTGGTGTTTAAACATCCAGCATAGAGATTTGGGCCCAGATACGAAGGGAACGGGTAAAAAAAACTCACATTTTAAAATAACTGAAATTTATATATATGTATGTATATATATATATATAAAATTTTAAGTTTTTAATTTATATTGAGTTTAAAGGAAGACAAAAACTTTGAATTTAAAAGAAATGCTTTAAGTTCAGTTTTAAATATCTACAAAATTTTGTAAATTGGGTAAATCAATTTTATTTCTTCAAAATGTGAAATGTTTCGTGACGTCGGGTTTAAGTTTCGCAGAGTTTGTGATTTGAAGAATTCATTTTGTAGCCTGAATTGATTTTCTAGCCCGAATTAGAGTTAAAGTGAGGTTCAAAATTTCTGTGGAAGGAAATTTTGAAAAAAGAAAAATAAATAAAGTTTCACTTCCTCTTATTGAAAGTTATTTCTTTAAAATTATCATTGCTGTTTTCTAAGCTGGTCCATAAATCCTTTTAGTTTTGAGCCGGTGGTCCAATTAGGTCAGCCACAGAAGATAGCTTAAAAGTCTGTATGGATTGCGAATTTTAAGCTAGTACATGAATAAAACGTAGCATATGATTTGATTTTTGGCTGTCGGTTGGTGTTGTCTGTCATCAGAATTTGATATCAACTTCAGAGCGATCTGAGCATTCAATGATTGAATGTTAGGAGGCTTTTCACGATAAGCATGATTTTCCATGAACCACCAAAAATAAATCTGAATTGTTGGCTTCAGTAGGAAAGTCGGATTCGTTCCACAATCCGGGAAGTTTTCATAAAGGTATTATCGAAAAAAATAAAACAAATAATCTAGAAGAAAAATATTAACTTCCCAGAATCTAGGCACTGCTCTTAAATTTCCTTGGAATTACTTTTATAATAATATGGCTGGTAAAGTGGCTAGATAATAACTGTTGTTGGCACCCGTTCTGGCGAATTTGTTTCTTCAAAAAATCTACAGTTTATACTGTGACTAATTTGAGCAGACCTTACAATTTCTGGGAAAGAACATAAAATATTGTATGGTCAAAAATAATAAATAGGCCAAGTCACCCAAAGTTTTGAAAACCAACTTTGAAACTACAGTTTTCTCAGCCTAATTAAACTTACCCTTGTTTAGTTCAATCAGTGCTATGGGTTGAAGGAATTTCAAACTGCGATTTGACAAATTGACTATGGCCAGATTCGAACCAAATTTTCATGTTCATCACGATATAAATTTCTAGCCACAAATATATATATATATATATATATATATGGTGAGCCAAAATTCGCCTACTATGGGCTGATTAATGGATAGGTCGAAGAGGTTCTGCTGAGTGGCCACCAGACCACACACCTTTGGATTTTTTTTTTTTTTTTTTATTGGTGGGGGGGGGGGCATTTGAAGCCAGTTGTTTATCAGATGCGCCCAAGAAATCTTGAGGAATAAAGAATTAAATATGAATTCAATAAAATGACCGGAAACTCTCCGACGTGTTGAGGAGTCATAGAGGTACAGAACGGAAATATGTTTTAAACAGCACATAAATGATATGTTCATGTGTAATTATACTTTTAATAAAATTATCCCTATGATGTGTGATTTTTGCCTCACTCTGTGTCTATGTAAGTAAGAAAAAATAAAATGAAAACAAAACGACCTAAGTTTCACCCATTCCGTTTTATATTACATTTTTTGCTTCGTTGAAAATATAAATATATATATATATATATATATATATATATATATATATATATGTGTGTGAAAAGTGTATATAAATAAATATATATATGTATAATTTATATATTATATATTATTTATTAGAAAGCGCTCAATAACAGAGATAGAGCTATTATCTATCCAACCATATATATATATATATATATATATATATATATATATATATATATATATATGATATATAAATAAATATATATATATAATTATTTATATATTATATGCGTGGTACTTATTAGAAAGCGCTCAATAACAGAGATAGAGCTATCTATCCAACCATATTTATATATATATATATATATATATATATATATATATATATATATATGTGTGTGTGTGGAGAGTTTTTTGCTAAATTTTTATCCTATTGACAGATATAGGCATATTGTTAGGGAAAATTAAAAAACTGGAAAATATTTTCGTGTGACGCGTTTTGTTCTTTAGGATTACATCGGATTAAAGGGATTATATTGATGCAACTACATATGCGCGGGGAGAAGAGGGGAGATACTGATTTTTTTTTTTTAAGTGCTTGGGTAAGTCTTACCAATTTCATTTATTTTCCCTGAATTTCATTTTTAATATTTTTATTATTGCGTATCAAACACTTTAATGATAGACGATATACCAAGAAACGTGAAATATAAAAAACATTAAAGGTTAAATTTACTGTATCCTCTTGTTCTTTTATACAGTTTCTTTGCAGATAAATTCCAGGTTTTCTTACGATATTCACTAAAACGTTACATTTCTGACGAGAAATTCATTATCCATATTTACAATTTAAAGTTAGGAGTAAAACAAATGCAAATTTCTTGTCCCCCATAATCTAATATGGCAGAAAAAATGTGTGAGGAAAGCGAAAACTGAAAATCTAGGTACTTTAAAAAATAAGTAATAATAATAAAAACACACACGCACAACTTTGGGCAACTTGCTATACAAATACTAAACAAATTAAACTACGACCCGAGTATAATGGTAAACTACATCTGGCAGCAAGGCCTCTGATCGAGAGGTTTTAGGTTTTGAGAACCACCTCTTAATGACCCAGGATGTTAGCCTCTCTTAAGGTCACAGCTATAGGCAAATTGTTAGACCTCCAAACTATGAAAGTATAAAAAAATATATTTTTAAAGAAAAATACCAGTAATACGTTTTCATAATAAAAATTCCCATACGTACATTTTTGTAATAAAAAAAAAAAATTATCAGCACTTTGCTTAAGCCTCCAAGAAAATTAAAATTTCGGCATTAAATAAACCATAAGGAGTTGATATGCTGCTAAACAAATAAAACTAGATAAAAATTGGAACTATTAAAATAATACCTTGTCCTTTTGTTGATATCTCGATTCAAGATAAAGAAAACTTTTCGATTTCAACGGTTTGCGTGCAATGCATGCTGGGTGTTATTTTCTCCGCTTCAGATCTGATTCTACAATTGCTTACTACTAGCACGCATGCGCAGTCCTTCGCTAAACGGCCATATTGGTATATATTTATTTTGTAAAAAATACAAAATTGTGGCACAAGGCCGAAGGGGGAGTGAGGAGACAAGGGTTCTTCATAACACCCCATGAATTAAAAATTTGTAATGTTCGTATATATATATATATATATATATATATATATAAAAATTTCATGAAACATAAAATGATGGGGAGGGGATATGAACCCAGACAAGAAACTCAAAATGTCAAACGGAGACAAAACAATGTTAGTAGTAACCGTCCACCCCCTAAGCGGCCATATTGATATTTATTTTAAATAAGTTACATAAAATATGGTAATATTAATTTCTGTTAAAATACAGAAAATGTGCACAAGGTCAAAAGAGATATCTATATATATTTCACATATCCTATTGTTAATCTAGCTTGTCACAAT